AACACCACATCCCCCCAACAACAACAGGGCTAAAAATGACCGAGCGTAACCTTGAAAACATTTGAACAGTGAAGCTGCTTTGGGAAAATCGATCGGTCAACTGGCCATTCAATTCACGCATTAAGTTGCCTAACCAGTAAGAAAATAGCATGGGAAGCTGAAACGCAGTCCAGCTACCAAAATAAAAGACCTCAACCTTAACGTACCCAAAGACTAGGAAAAACGATCATGGCTCAGGGTGGTTTATTCATAATCATGAACATGAAAGTCAGCCTTGACCTTTGTCTCAGTCTACGGAACGAAAATGACGGGGTGTTCCGGGAAGAATTGAACAGGAAAATACAAACTTCTCAGAATTGTTCCACTGACGATTACACGGCTCACACGAGGAAAAGATTCCAAGAGTCAAAATCATCCAAGACTCCTACGTGTAAGGCCCATCCACATAATGGATGTCTTGTTGGCCAGTTACCTGCTGAAATAGGAAGGGGATGTAAGAATACTGTCTGATATACCATATACTGAGAGCAAATCTTGCACTGATAACATTACAGAGCAGTTTTGACTAGTTCGACAGTAGAAATTTCCACTTAATCTCCAACATTTTTGTCCTACCCCATTCAGAGTATGGAAATATAATGTTTCCTCTTTCATTTCAAAAATATAAGGATAAACTGAAAAGCATCCAACGGCGAGCCATAAAATCGGTTCGGGGACTCAAATTCAGGTTTTGTGAAGAGAGCTCTCAATAACTGAATATTTACTCATTAGAGTACAGGTGTCTTAGAAGTGATCTAATGACCTACAGAATTCTAAGCACTTATGGAAATCCTCTTAAATAACTACATCAACACAAACCTTAAGGGTAATACCAAGAACCTGGAGGCACAACATAGCAGAACGGACCATGTACACACATTGCACTCCTTAAGTCTAGTCAAATGCTGTAATTTGCTGCCGGCTGAACTAGTCCATATGACTTCCCAAGAGTTCTTTATGGAAAAAGTCGACATATCTTTAAGGACTGAAGATGGCACAGGTATTCAGTGTTTGACAACGCTTTTACCAGTAACACCTAATATAACTCGTACCCACCAAGAGAAACCAAAAGACAGAATCGAGGAGATCAGAAGTTGTATTTGATGATTGCCAATATTTTGGTGGTGTTTTGTTCTCTGAGCTGGATGGTTTGGTCTGAAGTTTGTGCTGATGATGTCGTTCAGAAGAACGATGAAAGCTCCACGACCAAACCATCCAGCTCAGAGAACAAAACACCACCAAAATCATCCACCTGAGCTACAAATCTTCTCCACCATCTCAAGATTGCCAATATATCGGAATTGTTTGATCTAGTCTGACTAGCGATTGCAGTAGATGTTGAGCACGGCGTTCCCACACGTGATCTGGTGCGGATACCTGACCAAGCGCCTCCAGCTAGGTGAGTCCACTAAAACTAATCTGGTCAGCATCCAATGTTGAAAACTTACAGAGCTATTTATTTTGGGGATTTATTTACCGCTACAGGACTAAGGTCAGCATCTCGACATAATTTACTAAAATGTTTATTTTATCGTTCAAATGGTTCAAATGGTTCAAATGGTTGTGGACGGAATAGAAGAAGCTTTCGCTTAACAGGCTTCCGTGTCTAGTAGCAGGGGATCACCAAATCCTCCAGGCAGGAACCTAGGTATGTTAACAATAAAAGAGGAAAAGAAATTGGTAAATCATAGTGCGATGCTGTCCTTGGTCCTTAAGAATCGGTCAAGTTGCCTCTTGAAGGACTCCTGAGAAGTCGCTTGGACTAGCTCGGCCGGCAGCGAGTTCCAGCTTTTGACAACTCTTAAGGAGTAGAAGTTGTGTCTACATTCCGTCTTGCTATGTTGTGTTTCCAGTTTCTGAGTGTTACCCCTTAGGTTAAATATACCTAGACTTCTATTTGGTGGCACTGGTGATTCATTACTGCTTGATGCGAAAGCTCGATAAGCGAAAGCTTCTTCTATTCCGTCCAGGACCATTTGGAACCATTTGAAACTCTTCGTAATCAGTAAACTGGACTTTTAATGTGGAGACTCATCCAGACTTGAGTATTTCAGTTTATAGGGATATATCATGAATCATAACTCCCAATAAGCAAGAGTTTACTCAAACTGCCCAGATACAGACTACAAGGAACAAATGTTTCACTAATTGTACCAAGCAAAGTAGAAGTTCATGTTAGCATTGTCCTTCAGATGTGTACCTGACGACCTTGAAACCTGTACATGATTTATTCATGCATAAGGTTTTCTCAACGGATTCGTCCGATATTACGGAGTATGTAAGGTTTAAATCTCGTTGTAATATTTGAAATTATCGTTTCACTCTTCTATGACTGTATAATTTCACAAATTTTAGTGTTACTTGTCTAAAAAATGGTATATTTGATTCACTAAGCTATAATTTATGTTTGTAAGGAGCAACACACACTTGCTTCCCTGCAGTTCTCCGCTTTGTATAGTCAGTTAGAAGGATTTGGTAAGGGGTTCTTATGCTATAGTTGATTCGATTGACACTGGTAGCTTAACTATCAGTTTATTCTGTGTAGTGTTTTAAAAGTCCGTCTACTTCTGAGGCCCTTATCAACGAATAATCCTAATCGCAATGGTATTCTTTAACTAAATGCAAATATCCTGGCAACATTTGTTACCGACGTATTTCGTCATTTATGTTGGATGTGAGATAGATTTCCATAGCGCGTGATCGACGTTGAAGTGAACAAACTAGTCCTCTCAGCTTTAATACTAAAGGGTAGATTTCGACCGTGATATTGTCAAACTTATCTTTACTTCGCATCACAAACTCGCGAGTAAATAGTAGTCATTCTACTACATACCTTTAAGCTTTTCCCACTATGGAAATCCTCCATTGTTTAGAAATAGCTCTGCTGTTGTAGATCCTGGTTTGGTGTCTGAGCGCAAAGGTAGGCAAACGAATAATGTTTAAAGTATGAATTCTCAGACACAAAACACCAAGTTGTAACGTTGTGGAAGGATACTTTTGGTGTGTGAGAAGTATTTTGAAGGTTATATCGACCTCACCTCCTTTCGGGTACACACGCCATGTCTCATAATATCCCTAGAAACACTGTCTGGTAAGGATCTTACCAAGAGTAATTATGTATTTCCTGTCCCATGTATAGGTCGATTTTTTTTCTTCGTTTTTTTCGTGTGTCGCTTAATTCCTTGCACTGTTAAGGAGTTTTTCATGTTGGTAGGTGTAGACTATCTGGTTTGGATCCGCGAAACGATAGCAGCCGATGGTTGGAGACCTTGAACAACATGGCTCAAAATCGTTTGCAATGGCGCAGGTGCATCTATTCTTTGTGTTCTCCCAAATTCTAATCTTCTGGGTTGTCTTTTTCCTAGTTTATTTCACTGGATTATACTTCCTGAATAACATCGAATCTTAATCTTTCCGATTACTGCTTATACTTTTACTACCTCGACCATTATGGGATTTGAATCGACGATTGTATTTGTGTGCTAATGTGGTATGGCAACCTGAATTGATGTACGTACATACGAAGTTCTACGTTGTTACTGACTGACTGACCTTTTCATGGACTAAAAATATTACTGTTTTGCCCATATCAGACTCATGATGCAATCTTAGTGTTGGAGTCAATCAATGTATTCACTGTTGTATCGAAATCAACATAGAGACTTTTAAGTTCACGTTCCGAATTATTTCAAAGTCGCCCTGATGTTAAAGACCTTTCGTTCCTTCCAAACGTGATTAGACCACAGATTATTGTGAGCTTACTAAATTGTGTATTTATATAGGTAGCACTCTTGTCATATGTAAAATCAATTACCTTGAGTGCACCAACCATACAAAAACAGTCGATTGAGATTTCGTTTGCTTTGTTGTTTATGGTAAAAAGTCGCAACAGTATCACTACTGTCTCAAATTTTGACTCATATCTTACTTTTTGCAGACAGATAGATTTTCTTAAGACACGATGAACTATTCAGATTGTCACGTAGCTTATTTCGCGTCATGTAAGAGAATAAAATTCTTCATAGCTATGTTTACATTTCTACTGCTTTGTTTTCACAATAGATTTTAAATCATCTGCTTCTGGCAATGTCAATTACTCACGAAAAAACTCACAATTTCGGACACCGGTATCCACCGACACGGTGCTTAAACCTGGATTAAGATTGGCTCTGAAGTGCGGAGTTTTCACTGTCATATCTACTAATGCAATTTTTCTGGGATCACTTATTTTGGGCTTCGAGGCTTGGCAAGCTCGTTATTCCAAAGCAAAAAGTGATTACGCCATTAGAAATTTCATTTCTACGGTATTATAATACAGTAGAGTAACTTGCTTTACAGGTTCGTGATTACATAGAAAAGATTTTAGGCAGACCTCTACAAGCTTTTGATGTTTACTGGGGTAGATTTAATTTTCTGTACTGAAATTTCTGATTATTTTAGCTATCGTAGTTTGCAATGTCCTGGTCTTTCTTGCTCTTAACAGTCAATTTTCTTCTACTCTTCTACCTTATTTCTGCAGCAGTCCATATGGGTGTAAGTATTTCTTTCGTACCAAGCAGTCACGTTTTGTGTATGTGTTGCTTGTCGTTGTTATTACAAATGCAAACTTTATGCTTATGTTGTGTGTAAAGAATCAAATGTTGTAGTATTGGTTTGGATTACTATATTAAAATTAGGAAGTCTTTCCTTAATTTTTAGTTCTGAAAACCTTTAGGGTCAATAAGATTTACTATCACTTCTGATAACTCATAAACTAAGAAATGGCAACTTAGCACAAATCTTTCACTGTTTGTTACTTTTCACTGCGATCAATACCACCATCAGTTAACGTTACTTAATATGAAAGCCACTATGGTAACATGGAAGATCCTTCTACCCCATAGACTGGTGTTCAGTACCTGCTACTAAACCACATGGTTGTAAGTTGGCATGATTCAGGGTAACATTACTGACTGGGCTATGTTGATTGAAGACTTACAGAAAACATAAATTGCCCCAAGAATACAGACTACTGAGTAGCACGAGGTCCGTTCCCTGGGTTTCATATTGTTTCATTGAATCATCTGACACTTGTTTTTTATGACTTGCCAATTTGGTCGTTGGGATTTTATTAATAGTGAAGATAGAGCGCACTGACATCTATTACTATTCGGTGATCAACTAGGTACTTTAATATGGTGGTTATTTTGAAAGATAATTAATTATTGGGTAAGTTGGCAGCTTTCGCTTTCCCATTTTGCTCACTTGTCCTGTAAAAGACAGATTTTTTCAAGTTTGCTGATATATTTTCCCATGATGTTTGGCTTGGTCAAAACAGGGTCCTTAAAATCTTCAACTAGTTGATTACAAGGGCAGTACTAAGTCCTGTTCACATTAGCTTTATAGTTGTTGACAAGGGAAGATTTGCGTTTACTTTTTCAGGATAAAATAGAGTACACCTTAACCATTTCACAAATTGTTTCTACGTACGTTATTTTCTACCTCATCGTATTTTTCCTGTTTTTGAAATCTAAAATGTTTTTCTCCCTAGCCACTCCTGTATTATCACTGGTGCTTAGTTTATTTTCGCACAAAAGTCTATTCCATTTGGGTATCAATATGTATGTTTTGCACAGTTTCGCATCATCAGTTATGTCGCTTATCGGTGTTGAGGATTTTTTCAGTGTTTTTATTGCTGGTGGTGAGTAAGAGCACAATATTTAATTGATCTATCGAAATATAAACAATTGTAATAATTTTTTATATCCTTTCTACACAATTTTATTCCCAAACTATAAAGTCATAATCACAAGATAATGTTCCTTGTACCTTTTTTAAAATCAAAATATTCATAGTTTATGAATAATGAAAAAGATTCTTTGAGAGAGGGAATCGAAAAATCACTGACATGTAAGGAAGTATAATGTAGGAGTGTATACGAAACGTAAGAAAATGCATTTACTTACAAGGATATTCTATCATGTTCTCTAAGTCTCTAAAATTGTATTTTAGTAACCACGTACAGATTTGCGTGTTCAACTTTAAATCAGAATTCATGTAATTGAGCTACTATTATTACACATGTTCCCAAATAAAGATACGTAAGTCAGGGTTTAACAGTGAATACCTTACCATAAAAGTGCCTAGAGAAGTTGATTATAAGGAAAGAATTTTAGAAACCTGATATATTTTTAGACCAATGGTTTTAAGATCGTTTTATTTTCTGACTTAGGCTGTTAATAAATTGGTTTTTCCATCACTACATTTAGGGGTTTAGTCAAAGTAATTTCAAATACTTCATGAAAGGATATAGGTCATTTAAATTTATGATCTGTCCTATTTAGTACTGTAGATGAATTTTTTTCCTTCGTTCGACAGTTAGTTTAGTTTAACTTTATAATTTTTATGTGACTAAAAGTTACAACAGATTTAGCGAATTTTCGCCCCACAATTAGTCAAGATAATATTTAACTAAATGTTTTTGAGAATGAAACAAGGTAACTAGTAGTCGGGCTTCCACCATGAAGATTTTACTAATTTGTTGAGATACATAAATTACTGAAATGTCTGAACTGTTAATTTGTCTAATTAGTCTGTCCGTAAATCGAAACTGGAAGACAGAATTGCTAATTATAATCTTCTAAGTACGTGTTAATATGTAGTGTGAAATAAGAAAAATGATTTGTTCTAGAGAAAATTATGTATATAGTCTTTTAGTTTTGTGACAGAGATATATTATGAAGTGTATAATATTTCGATTTACTATATTTCTAATTATTGCTATTCACTGTGATGTTCTCTTTGGCTTTCTGTATGAAGGAATCTTCTCAGGTTATGTCAGTTTGATGAATAAATTAGTACGGAGATCTTCATTTCCATCATTAGGTGCCAGTGGAGGTATATGCGCTATTATTGGTGCATTTTCTATGCTTCAGCCAAATGCTAGGTTATGTGTACCGTTTATTGTTGACTTTATACCTCATTCATTTCAAGCGAGCAGTGCAGTTTGGATTATTCTTAGCATTGAAATATTTGGGCTTATATTCTTGAGTCGTCGTAGTGCATTAGATCACGCTGCACATGCTGGTGGTTTGATCTTTGGCATGTAAGTTGTAAATGGTGTTACTAGAGTCAATTTCTCACTTTATATTAATTTTATACTCTTTTGATATTAACTAAAGAAAGTACTTAGATTATGTTAGGTCGAATGTATAGCATTCACTAGAGTGATAAGCATACAATTCATTGAATACTGTTGATTTATCTTATTTCATGATGTCTCTTGAACCAAAACAGTCTGAAATGTAGAAAGAATTGATAAAATAAAGATGAACATCTTTTTTCTGAACGGAGTAAAAGTGTTCACAATTTAGACAAAATTAACACATATGAATGTTTGGATATGCATGTCAATGTCATACACTTTTGTCAATTATTCTAATTATACTGAACAGATTGCTAACTGATGTCTAGCTTTCTGATTATCAAACAATAAATTGTGGTGAAAAGGAATTATGTACAGAACAAACATGACAATATAATTAAAGGTGAATATAAAATGAATTTTATTAATTCACTAGTTAATCTATACATAATATTGGACAGTAGCTGGTTAGACTAAGTTTTATATCAAGGATTCAACGTTATTGTGTATCTATCCTTCAGGTTTATAAACTTATCACTAAATTTCAAAGGGAGAAACTATAGACGTGATTATGTTCTAAACTCACCAACAGGAGATTGCAATTAGTCAGTCACAAAGAAAGAAATTGGCACAAATATGCATCGGTTCAAGTTACCACAACATATCAGTATAATGAAATTAAATTATTAAGATAAGTCTGAGAATATTTTGAGTAGTAAAGTTATTAGAAATAATAGCAAATATTAGGTATGGACAATATGGTTCGAGAAGAAAGAGTTAGCGGAGTGAAAAGTATGAGGAAATGTTAAAACTGAAGATCTATGTTGAAAAATGTGTGAATGGATCTGGGTCACTGTGACCATATCACCCAGCATCTCCAACCATTAATTACGATAATCGTATGGACTCTGGGTAGTGGAAATTTATTTACACGCCCAAGTTCAACATTCAATGACTTTATGGTTTGATGTCATTTGTTAACTTGGCCGCCCTTGACTTTCTTTCAACTTACTAGCACATCAATAAACACTGGACGTCGATGTAGACATGTGTTAAGATTGTGTATTACACTTCTCAACCACTCATTATACCATCAACTTATTTGCCGTTTCTACCTTGCATTCTTCGTTTTACCTAAGCTTTAGTCACTTGGTGGTTCAAGCATAAGAGACCTAAACTAACCACCTTACATTTTTCAGAAAACTAGTTGATGGTTATCAATTAGTGCGTTTATACCGACCAACATTTCGTTTCGTTTATACATCGCATATGGCAAATATTTTAGTGTAACTGAGATATTTTACACTTCATTGCATATGCAATAGTGTTAGTGCTGAGTAATTGAACTACGTGGGCAAGACTCTATGTAAATGATATTAATGGACCAATAGTCAGTCACATATGGAATGTAACTAGGCTTTCTATAAGCATCTCATCATTCAGTTTGTTTGACTAGACTAGTTTGAGGGACCATTCCGCTACCCATACTTCGGTAACTGTAGCTATGTTTAAATGTCTAACCTGCTTGTTAGAATTCTAGTCCGAGTAGGACACCGTTTTTTTCGCCGAAACATACTTTATAACATTTATTGCTAGTGGTCATAGTTTATAGCTGGATTGCAAAATATAGCAAACTCCTTTCCTTGTGAGCCTTAATTGTTCATAAGCAAAAAGTGGTATTTTTTCATGATATATTTGTATAAAAACAGTATTGTCTATACTCATATAAACAGGTTTTCAACTGTCTAACTATCAGTGTAAGTGTGCCATACTACTATTTCCAAAGAGATTTCTCCCGAAATGGGGTCTTAGTCCCATATCTACTCATGTATTGCACTGAGATTATGATGATTGTTGTATAAAGTTTTTTGTAACAGATCAAATGTACCACCTGTTCGCACTTATAGAGGTAGATTTGACGAAATTGAACAACTAATTCAATATTTTAAGTACCATCACCCCACACTACTACGTCCTATGTATTACTTTTATTATACTTATTAGGTATCGTAAAACTATTTTTGTTGAATGGTATTCCATCACAGAAGTATATATATTTGTCTAGATGACGTTTGTTTTTGAAAAATTTAATTATAATTATAATTATATTCCAAAAAACAATATAGGCTGTATGGTAGCAATGGTGTTGAATCAATTTGGAAACGACATCGTGCTGTATTATCTTGGTGGAAGAATATTCGTGATTAAAAACATAGAATACAATGATATTTTTAGGATGTTCTCTATAGTTGTAATTTTATAATAAACATTCAACAACAAAAAAAGATGGTTGTATGCTTTGAAGATTATTACGTGTTGTACAGTGAATATACATATGTATTGTTTGTTTCAGTTATGTACAATATTATTATTATATGCAATTGGTTCCCTTTATGAATTTAAATAGAGCAAGAACAAATATTGGTGCAGAATTGTATGAATTCATATTATTTCGAGGTTTCTCGTCAGCTGCTTACAAACCAAAATTGTGATAGAATTTTTTACATGGAGATAGTGTGAAACAAGTGACATAAATGAGTGTAAATAACGTGATTACAATAATAACTATATATATATATGCTAGAAACAGGTCAGAGGTCAAAAGAGGGGGGTTAATCCAGGGTGGGTGGTTTAATAAATTGTGTGATAATTGTAGAGATCAATGGAATTAAATAATGATAAGGTAGATTACGTAATAATAATTAAATAGGGTTTGGAAAGTTAAGATGATTTAAGAGGATCAGGTGACGGAAATGTGTGAATAAAATTTATTTTATTTTAAGAATTCGGTAATAGGGGGGATATAAATGATCTTAGAATAAGTAAATGAATAAAATAACCAAAACACAAAACAAACAGAAACAAAAGGATTACCAGGGTAGTGATAAGTTTATTAAAGTCTCTTTTTGGATGCATAAGTCCGGTTTCAGTTTCTTAATTGCAATGGCTTCAGCAAAGCGGAGAGTGGTAGTAGTTCTTTGTCTATTGATAATTTTAAACGCGCGCATAATATCGACGGTATGCCCGGTGTCAAGTAGATGCCGAGCTATTGCACTGTTGAAAGCTTTAGTCCCTCGCAGCGTCAAGTTCTTCGGAATATGCTCAGAAATGCGAACCTGTACTCTTCTCTCAGTTCTTCCAATGTATGTGCTACGGCACGTACATGTGAATTGGTAAATGCAGTTGGAGCAACTGAGGGGAGAGGACTTGTCGATTTTCGTTTGTTTCAGTGAGCAGTATGTTTTCCATAACGTAGTCAGTTTGGCTGCCGGGTAGGTCACTTTTAAAGCAGAATTAATTCTGTGATTGATAATTCCGGCGACTTCATCTCCTTTGAAGCTTAAGGATAGGAAGCAGGTTTTCTTTTCAACTGTATCATGCTTAATTGGAGGGTTTGTATTAGCATATTTGTGGATGAATTTATCCGGATATGCATTTTCACGTAGGCATTTGTTGATTGTAGTAATTTCTTCTTCGAGGCATTCTTTTGAACAGATTTTTCGTGCGCGGTCAAAAAGGTTTCGCACAATACCCTTTTTATAACTCATTGGACAGAAGCTGTTAAAGTTGAGATAAACTCCGCTCCAAGTATTTTTGCGGTGAATGTATCTTTGTAGTGTACCGTCTGATGTTCGCCTAATTCCAATATCTAGGAAATGAAATTTATCATCAACTTCATGTTCCATGGTAAATTCTATATCTTTGTGTACTTTATTGAACAGACTAAGTAGGTACATGGAGTGTTGGTGATTTTTGCAGACAAGGAATGTGTCATCCATATATCTGCAGTAGAGTGTGGTACTGTCGATTGCGTGCTTTAGTTTCTTTTGTTCCAGATGTCCCATAAATATGTCGGCAAGAATTGGGCCTAGAGGGCTGCCCATTGCTATTCCATCAATCTGTCGGTACAGAACATTGTTAAATTTAAATTGTATGTTTTTTGTACACAAAAACAGGAGCTGTTTAAATTCCTGGGGTGGTAAAGGCAGGAGTTCTGGATATTCACATATGATCTCTGCCGTTTCTTCCAAGGGGATATTTGTGAAAAGCGAAGAGACATCAAATGAAACCATGAATTTGTCAGAGACATTAAGGTTATCAAGTTTTTGTACAAATTCAAAGCTGTCTTTCAAACTGTAGGCTGCTAGTTTTTTGCGGATTGGCTGCAAGCATCTAGTAAGCCAGCGGGCAAGTTTATGGAAAGGTGATTTGGCCATCGATAATATTGGTCTTATAGGGACGTCGGGTTTATGTGTTTTGGGTAGCCCATATAAGTATGGCAATTGTGACCCTTTTGGTTTAAGTTCGTTATACGTATGATTATCTATTAGATTTTTCTTAACAAGTTCTCTCAACTTTCTTAAGACACGTTTCTCTGTCGCGTCTGTTAGGTCTTTCTGGGTATTGTCAATGATAAATCTGGTGGAGTTATTTAAAATGGTCATTACCTTATTGATATATTCATCTCTGTTAAGAATGACTACACTGGAACCCTTATCCGGACGAAGTAGCATTATTGTTTCGTCTTTAGTAAGTTTTTCCAATGCTTGATGGTGGTCTTCGGTGAACACCCTTGAGTGTGGGATTGGTGTTGTAACATACTGGTTTGTGATATCCACTAATTTAGATTTAAACCAACTGTACTTTTCGTCGTTCATGGGTTTAAAGTCTGACAGTTGTTGATATAAGTATTCAAACTGGGTCTCAGTGTCTATTCTGTTGCATTTTCTTGGGATATGAAATTTGAATCCAAGACAGAGTGCTTCAGTTTCAATTCGATTTAGTTTTTTATTAGATAAGTTCTGTATGTATTTTCGTGGATTGGTAGGAAATGCCACGTGGTTTTGTTCTTTAACAAGTGTTTTGGTTAATGTCTTCATGAATTTGTGACTGGTTTTCGACTGAACATCACGAATGAAGTTAATAAGTTTAATACGACATATACACTCATTTATGTCACT